CTGAGTTAGAGAATTTGAGTACTAGTTGAGAAGATATTAAGTATCGGGTGAAGTTGAATTAAATTGATATTTAAAAACTATGACAAGAAAAAACCGAAAAAAGAAAGTCGCGGGTAATTTCACCAATGCCGAAGACTTAAAAAACCGTTTCTTTGCCGAAATTGAAGAACGCCGAAAAGCTGGTGATAAAGCCAGTGGTGATTCCGGTTATTGAGATGGTGGTCGGTGTAATTGAGGTGGTTCCCATAACTTACAAGAAGATTGTAATAACTTGGCTACTTTCTTTAATGCTGCGGCTAGTGTAGCCGATGATGTGGGCGAAATTAAATTATCGGCTAACGAAGCCATATTTAATCAAAAAAAACAAGCCTTAATTAGTAAAGTTCAAGAACTTATTAATCAGTGTCAAACTTCTAGCAGTTATTCCATTGCTAGTATCTGCTGTATTTGAAATGATTACTTTGGTAGTTTTTTAAAACCTTTTTTAGATACTTTTTCTAAGAAATTACAGAGACAGCTAGGAGAAGTTCAGAAACTAGAACCAAAACATCAAAAAGAATTACTGCAATTGGAGCAAGAAGCCAAAGAATTAGAAAGTGCTTATAACGAGAATGTGAAAAAGGCTAATGACCCTAATACTAGTCCCGAGGATAAAACTAAGTTTTTATTGCTGGCTAGTCAGATATCGGAAAAAGCCAAAAGATTAAAACAAAGAATTTCCCAAAACCCTTTGGCTGATTTAAGCCGATTTAGTAATTTAGATGATTTAAAGACCCTTATTGATGGTAAGATTCCGAGAAATCCTGGTTCCAGTAAACCAAAAGGGAATCCAAAAACAGGTAATAGCGGAGGAGGAAGCACTCCAATTCCTAATCCTTTGGAAGACCCCGAAAGTTTTTTTGAGCAATACAAAACTCAAATATTTATCGCAATGGCTCTAATCGGAATAATCTTTTTCCTTTATAGCCAAAAAGATACCGAAGAGGATGAAGACACTAAGGAAGACAAGAAATTCATGCGGCAAATGATGCTAATGAAAGCCATGAATAGCAGTAATAAAGTCAATGAGGAGTAAACATGAAAAAAAACCAGCAACAACAATTAATATTAGTCCTTTTACTCTGTGCAGCTGGCTATTATTTTTTAGTTTATTTACCGGAGGAAGAAAATAAGAAAAAAATGGAACAAGCAAAACAAGCAACTCCGCAAAAGTCTGCTGAGGAACTACAAGAGGAATTAGAAGAGGATGCTTGGGATAAAGGAAGGATATGAGATTTGCCAGTTAACAGTTGAGCCGACCGCGAAGTAAAGAAAATATCCAGCACTTTGGTAAAAAAATATCAGGAAGATGCTGCTATTTTTCCTGATGGAGATAGAGACGATAAGTTTTATTTTTCCCGAGCAGCTACTTATACCATCCATTTTCCTCCTTCCTTACAAGAATATTACGAAAAAGCCCAAGAAGCGGAAATTGATAGTTCTCTATTAACCCAGACCGAAGAACTAATACTTTCGGACAAGATTAAAGCCTGAACAGAAAAAGTAAAAGTTAATCCGATACGGGGTGAACCTGATTCGGACAAAAAAGATAATAGTGCTTTATTTTACGGAGCACCTGGCACCGGCAAAACTCAAACTATGAAAAATATTTGTGTGGAAGCCAATAGATATCCGTTAGTGGAAATGAAAGGCTCAGCTTTAACCCCTAATAAGGAAGACCAAGATTCCGGACTTTTACCTTTGAAAAAATTTTGTTATACCATTAGTGAATTAGAATGAATGCTAGTGAAAGAGTGTGGATTTGAACGCGAAGACAACGGTGAAGTTCGTTATATTCTCTTTGTGGATGAAGCCGACCAAATTTCTAATAATGCCCTGACCCACGACCCGAACAAACTAAGATTTCTAAAAGACTGTTTAGAAGGAGTAGACAAATCAGCCCGCAGTAGTAATCTGTGAGTATTCGCGACTAATCACTTAAAAGACATTGAAGAAGCCGTTTACCGAGAAGGAAGGTTAAGTAATCCCCTGAATTTCAGTTGAGATTGAAACGAGTTTAAAAAGTATGCGGAACAAGAAGGGATTTATAATGATTTACCAGAAAGATGACAAGAAACAGACTTCCTGAACCCCGAAGATAATTTATGAGTAAAGAAATTCAATAAGAAATTATTTCAAAAAGAGTTTTTAGGCAATGACCCCGACCTGCCCGGCCGACCAAGATTTTGAGAACTGTTTATCACTAATAATCCTGATGCTCAATATGACCCAAACCAAGATAAAGAGAAGGATGAAGATAACGAAGAAGAAGAACCGCAATTAAAAGATATTGAAATTGGTGAGTTTTTAGAATTCTTTTGAAGTTTATATGATAGTGGAAGTTTAATGAGTTATAAAGGAAAATTCAAAAGTTTTCGCAAGCCCACTGTGGAAAAAGTATTAGAAATTCAGTTCACAAATCTAATCAACAAGCTAGATGAGCAATTAGATGATTTAATAGATGAATTGCAAGAAATTAGAAATGATAAGCAAGAAATAATAAGAAGCGATATTCAAAAAATATTTAAAATATTAGGACAAAGAAACCAATAATATGACAAAAAATCAACAAATAACCAAATTAGAAACCAAAATAAATAACGTTCAAGAAATTATAAATAATTGAAAACAAGAAATCATGAAATACGAAAAAATCTTAGAAAAAATAATAAAACAAGTTAGTGAATTAAAAACTAACTCTAAAAAAAATAGCAAATAATTATGGGATTCTGAAAAGCAGTATGCACTTGTGTTGGTTGTGCGGCTGGTGCAGCTTGCATAGTTTTGAGTGGTGGAGCAGCAACTCCTTTGGTGGCTGGTGCTCTGATGGGAGCCGGTGGCTTAGGAGGTTTTTTTATTGGTGATAAGGCTGATAAAGAAGATAATGAAAGAGAAAAAATGCTCTTACAGGATAAACGTTATAAGGATGCGGCTAATGAAGTAGACAAGCAAGTTCAACAAAACAATCAAGCCCAGGACGCTATAAACACCATTGCTGGTAAATTAAATGGTAATATACCCCGACAATCCCACGAAACGGATGAATACCTAAGAAATCAATTAATAATTTATCAGTCCCAGTTAGACAGTGGAAAAAATAGACTAAGTGATTTAAGGAAAGACATGGATAAGTTAAGAAAAGAACTGGGTGGAGGTGGTTCACTAATGGGACTATTAGGCTTAGATAAGTTATCTTTTACCGATAAAGTAATGATCATTGCCGCAATAGTTCTGGTTATTTGATTACTGAAAGGCTAGTTATTTTTTCTTTTTTTTGAAAATTATAACTAAGAAAACGATTATTAATAATCCCACTACTGCCAAACCAATATAAGGGAGGAGGTTATTTTTTTTATTAGGATTATTCGGAGTTTGGGAAGAAGGAGAATTATTTTTTGGCTTTTTCGGTTTATTTCCTAAATCTTTTAAAATTTTTTTCTTATCTTCTAACTCTCTTTCTTCTTCCGCAGTGCGGTTAGGTTTGTTTTCTAAATTATTAATATCCTGCTGAATTTGCTCTCTCTCTCTCTCTCTCTCTCTCTCTGTTATTATCATTACTTTTATCATTATTTACTGGCGGAATACCTTTTTTACTGGCTAATTCATTAAGTTCTTGTTCTACTTGCTGATAAGTTTTTTTTATTTGCTCTTGGCTAGTGAAGGTTCCGAATTGTATTTTGTGAATTAAATTGATTGTATCCAAAGTATCAAGTTTATTTTCCTTTGCTCAGTCATCTAATTTCTTGCTAAGTACATATCTTAATTTTTGTGTGAATTC